GCAGAGCCCAAAACCTCATGCAAGTGATGGGTGGCATCACTAGCGAGGGAGAGCTGCCTTGCCACGAGAATCTTGGCACATCACGACTCGCAACAATTTTGTGAAGTCACCCCGCCTTGACGAACGGCAATCTACCGGAAAGCGGGCTCACAAAACTCATCGCACAAAGGCTACTGCCTGTTGCTCATCCACTCATTGTCCACTGCACCAAGGAATCAAAGCAGGTCGGCCTAAAGCACTCCACCAGAAACGTCACATTGGCCAATTTGGCATGCAGTGTGGCTCTTTGCAAGGCTACTTTTGACTTGCCGACACTTCGGACTCATGTCCCTGTCCACGAAACGCCCACCTAGCTCTTCTCCTTTGAGGAAGGGCATCATGCCAAATCTGCCGCTCGCTGTATCTTACACGGTGCATTGATTATTTTTCTCATGATCAGCACCACTGCTCAAACCACTGATGAGTGCCCAAATGCACATGGTATGATCAAATTCCAACAAAGTGCACTCAAAGGTGAATGTACATCCAGGACTAAGTCTTCCGTTGGAGGCATCAAGTCTTCCATCTTCGATTGTGCACAGGTTGTGCTGGTGTGACTTTGTGATGTCGTGCCTGCACCGCAAGACCATGCGCCGGCTGCCGGTGGCAAGCAAAAGCTTCTTGGAAAGCAATTTTCGAGCCAAACTGCATCATGGGCAGAAGCGAGCTTGTCAAGCCAGAGCTGCTGTCACACTTGGCCTGAGCAAGACTGTGAGTTGTAGTCAGTCTGAACAACTGCCTTCAGCTAGCTTCCCATCTTAAGAGTATTTCAGAGTCAGTCAGCGCAAGCCTTCACCTTGCAAGCTGAATGCGGGCTTTGCAAATCAACAGGGACACCCCACAACGGTCCCCTGCAACCTGTCGACAGCATCTTACAAAGTGCCGTTTCCTCAGAAAGGGCATCTGTGCCCCAATCTGACACTGAGCTCACATCAAATGCATGACCCCTACCATCGAAGACGCATCCAAGTAAGCTGATGCCTTCTTCGCTTGGCTCAGTCAGTGACTGTATACAAAGTATGCGAGGGTCTCTGATTTGGTTTCCAAGAACATGTGAGAGCATTTCTTGAGTTTTGAAGCCAGCGAACATACTTTCTATACGGTGAATGCACATCCAGGCCCAAGTCTTCCGTCAGAATTAGGAAAGGCAGCCAGTCTTCCATCTTTGATACTTCTACAAGGCGGCCCATGTCATGGTACGAAAGTTTTGACGGAGAAAAGGCTACTCCTGGGTGTCGCGCGTGGGCGATCGAGGGTCGGGTCTTCCATTCGCCCAATGAGGCTTCACTGTGAGTCCAAAAAGGAGCGCTGAACCGCATCAGGGTGAGTGTGTTACCATGCCTTACCTGCCCTCCACATACTTGTGCATGGACGCTCACACTGGAATTTCTCCTTCAAGAATCAAAATTGGCCGCTGCGGTCAATCTTTGTCATCACGTAGCTTGGCACAGCCAACCGTATTGCCATTCGAAATGAGGGGCATCTCTGCGGTGGGCTGGTTCTGCGTTGCTACAGACCAAACACAGGAATCCCACATATTTTGCACAACATCCCTTGGACTATGAGAGGTGCAGCAGAAAGGACTGGATTCTTTTGACGTCGGGCTGATCGGACTGCAGGTTTTCCATGGCACTTGCGACCTGGCGCGAAAGGAGATTGTAAGGAAAGAGGGCTGACAGTTGCCATCCTACACTTGAGGCCGCTCCTGGAGGAAACCAAACTTAAGATAGATATATAGGCCTGACACATAACGTAGCATTGGAATGTTTCGTATGCTCTTAATTCTTTAGCTCGTGACTCGAATACTTACAATACGTTTCTTTAAAAGGGCCCCAATGCAAACCCATAGTTTTTTTTTGTGCCCCTACACACCCTGGCCCTGACGCACCTTGGCACATCCTTCAAGCCGTTCCAGTTTTATGTGTTTGCATGCTTTACACACGGTCCAAACAGCAAACGTCCAACCACCTCAGCTAGTGGCTGTTCGTGACCGGTTTGTATTCACTCCTGAATGCGGCCCTCAATAACGTGGAACCAGCCAAAGTTATGCGTATCAGAATGAAACATGCATATATTTATAGAATTTTATAGAAAAATAGTGAGAATGACAGCTCGGCCTGGGATGCATTCAAAGTGTAATAGTAAAATGCAAACAAATACACCACAAATGCAAACAACATGCACAAAAAACATGCAATATGAATGCCACAAAAAAGAGCCCAAACAATATGCAACAAAAAATGCAACATCTTTGAACCGTCTTTGCTGTGGCTCTATTTTTCATTAGGTTGCAATCTTCGAAAGTGCAGGCAGAATGGATGAGGCGAATCGAATGGAAAACAACAGGCCCAAAGACACATGCTAGGAGATCCCAAGTATCAAGCGAGTCTGCTTTGGAGGATCTGATTATGAAGGGCACTGTACAAGATTGTACAAGGTTGAAATGACGCACAAACTAGACTCCCTGGAAGGAACGTGTCCTGAAACTCTCTAGTTGAAACATATGTCAGAAAATGATTGATAACGGGCAATATGTGTAAGCATTGTAGAATGATTGATGAGAACAGCAAGTAGAACTTGCGCGGAAACATTTGAGTGATTCTGAAGCGATTCTGAGGGTCTACAAGCAGCTGCAGTGGCCTTCACATCAGTCCTCCAACACGATCGAAATTGATTCTCATCAAAACCTGTCCCCACCTGCCTGGAATGACGGTGAAAACACTGACTCAGTGCTGTGTTGTGCTTTCCACAGGCAAAAGGTGCTGGGCACAGCTACTTCTCAAAACGATCCAGGATAAGCTAGGTGTTCTCAGTATTTGGAGCAAGTAAACGCATCAAAGTTTGGTAGCTGCCAAAAGAAGTGAACCCTGGGTGCATTACTTTGTTGTTGGAACATTGTTGGTTTGCTGTATTGTGTAGTGGGATCAGTTGCGTTGGCGCTGTGACTGAACTCACTAGTCATTCCGAAATTTTGAGCTTTGACAGAAGCACTGCAGGCAGAAACTATCAGAAACTGATCACACCATCGCCAGAGTGCAGAGTTCAATGCAATGCTTCTAAGGCAAACAAAAACAATGCAGCTGTTGCAACAGAACCAAGAGGGAGCACTGCAACACCGCACACTTTTGGGGCGTTGTTGCAAATGTCCGGCGACCGTTGGCTGCCGGCTGGGCGGCCCACTGAATCAAAAATCCACATCCGGTGAATATGGACATTCGCTGAAGTGACCGATGTGAGTCCCCATCTCCAGCAAACATGCCCGCGCTAGCAAATATGCAGCATCAGCGGCTGAATTTGGGTATCCGAGCAAACACTTGATGTAGTGGTGCTTTGCAAAGTCTCTAGCAGTAACAGGATCGCAGTCGTCGATGCTTTTGTAGCGCGCCGCTGCCAGGACAGACTTGGACATGAGGTAGGGTTGAAGTTTTGCGCTGCAAGCAACCTTTGTTGCGATCACTTGGTTGTAATCTAACCAGTCTGCAAGGACCAGCTCTTCGTTCTGAAACTTGTAGGTGTTTTGGATCTGATCACATTTGGCCTTTGAAACAGATATCCACTCGGTGTTGTTCTGCAGAAGTGAAGGCTCCAAACCTTGCCCCTGCAAATATCCCAAGGAGTAGCCATAGAGGTCGTCATAGGAATAGTGCATAGCGTCCATATAGGTAGTAATCGCTTTGCCTTCAAAGTTGAAGGTGATCAAAGGGCCTGTGCGTATTTTCGGGCAAAGCAACTTGTAGGACAACTTGGCTCATTGGCTCTCAAAACTTGAGCTGAAAGTCCAGAACACTGAAACGTGTCACAAGCGCCTTTAAGATAGTTGGCGTCATCACAATCCCTCTTTGTGGGCCAGAAACTGGTGTTTGAGAGGTTGCAGCGGGGTCTAAGGTGGGGTGGCAGGCGAGACGGTATGCAAGGACCTTGGAAGGATATGGGACGCAGTACGCTGCAAGGTGCAATTGTGGCAACTTGACATGAGAGGGCCAACAGGGCAATGAGAGGGTGGAGAGAACCTTCGAGTTTACTCAAAGCAACTAGAAAATGAAAAGGACCAAGAACACCATTCACTGCCGTGGTTTGGGTTAGAGCAATAACATTGCTAAAAACCCCTCCCGCAGTCATGTCTGAGGGCCTTTCTTGAAGCCTTCATAATAGGAACCTCGAATGGCGAGAATTGCATGCGATGCACTCTGCACATAATCCGGGTTGTCGCCCAACGGATCCACCCAGAATCCCGTGTAGTTGAAATAGCAAAAGCCATCTTCTCCTGGATGTTCTGCCATCACCTCCCAACTCTCGCTTTCAAGCTCAAAATAAAAAGAAAACTGGGTCAATTAAAGTCATGATTCTGATTCATGATATTCATGGGAAATAGCCCTGCGCCTCAGGCACCGGCCGATAGCAATCATGACCGTGCGTATGGATGCGGCAATTGTTGCTGCAGGGGGCGTTGGCGTTGGGATCACAAGCATCCTGAATCAAGTGCCCGCAATTTTCCAACGACTTGCGGGCTGCCTCTGACTCAGAGGCCAGCTGGGTTTCAATGGACACGAATGCACTGTGCTGTAGCATCCTCACATCCATCTCCAAGCATTCTTCATCCGCCTCAGCAAGCATTGCCAGAAGCAATGGCACAATAAAGCACATCATGGCCATGGGTTTTCAGCTGCAGCGATTCAAGATTGAGCCAGCGGCTGTCGAACAATCTCAAAATCCACGAGGCACGTGTATGATTTGTCTGCATCTTAACGTCAACAAATGCATCCTGCATCTCCCCAACAGAACAAATGCAGGTGCCTTGGCACTCCAGCTGAACATTCTACATACCTACTTGCAGCTGTTCATCTTTCCTTTACCATTTATCGACCACTTCGTTTAGCAGCTGTCCGACTGATCTTTTCTTACAAAGCGGACTTATCTCCACGAAGACGTTTTGCATCTGGTTGTTCATGTTTACGGTTGCCTGGATTGTCTGAAGAGTCCCTGGCGCAACGGGTGAGACCCAAAAAAGCAAGGGAGCTGCATATCCATTAGATCCACATAATATAGTAAAATTATGTAAAATGAACCTGCAAGCCTGCAAGAATTTGTGCGTGCTGATCAAAACTACAATACAATTTCCTTGAAAAGGTTCGCTAATAATGAATAAGCCCTCAGCCCTCTGTCCCTTCATACCATCTTGGACCCAATCGCCTCGCTGGGAACTCTGGAAGATGTTGCCCATCAAAGGCCAGCTGCACATCCAAGCCTCACCGGTCACTGAGCCTCCTTGTTGAGGATCCAAATCCTTCCCTTGTCACCCCTAATCACCGCTATGTAACTGTAAGAAGCCCTTGATGTCACAACAAGACTTCGAGGGAAAAGAACACAAACATCAGACTCCAAAACCTGAAACAGGCAAACTAGGAACAAGTGCATCGCTTCTAGTAACAAGTGCCTTACTAGTAGTAACAAGAAGCTAGTAGTTGGATCCTCTAAGGTATTAAATTGAGTTCAACAGTGCGTTTGATATTCTCCGATACATGTCCAATGATTCCAATGGCCCAAGCCTTCGCGCTGCAGCGCTCGAAGCTCTTCGTTGACCTGTGCCCACGAACGGCTTTCACTGGGAGCATGGCCCAAATAAATGAACGGCTGAACACCTCGTCATGATCTCCCATCGCGCAGGAATCCATGCCCACCAACAAAGTCCTGCCAATCAAAATTCATTCAAGCATATTCCAAGCACATGTGCAAGGCAAGGAAGGAATTGCAAGAATTAGGAAACACAACTTGGAAAATTGAGCAAAAGCACTGCTTGTCCTACTATTCTCTTGCTAAAGGCCTTGTTTGGGCGGTCCTAGTAACCTCTCTCTGACCAGAACTTGTTTCCGATTTCTGTCCTCTTCGGTCGCAGCTTGCGGACCAGCTCCAGAGCTTCGTCTAAGGACATGTGTGTTGGATGACCGGATCTTGAAAGGGCATCCACCATGAACAGATCGATGCCGACAGCGGCGGCTTCTTCCAAGAAGGACATCGTCTTGGGTGGAACGTCCTTGATATCCGAAATGTAAACCTAGGCACGTGGTGATGTGTGACTGAGCTGCAGAAACTAGAGATCTGTTACAGTAGACAAAACTCAGAAACTGACTGACGGATAAAGTTGATAGTGACTAGGGGTGTGACAAGGGGATAGCCACCTTTGAGCTTCCCCCCGAAAGCAAAGCCCAGCGACACATATGTACCGCCATGCCACACCTCAACAGTTTCGGTGGACATCGCCGACGAAACTGAGGCGAAAGAAACATAAAGAAACCATTGAGGTGCCAGCAGGAAACACACGGAGCGGCAAGCCACCAACAAGGTCCATTGTCTCGTCATCAGAAACCTGGACTCTGGGCATCCATTGAATCAGTGTCTTCTCCTTCCTTTCTTATTTCAAGGTGAAGTTGAATCAAGAGCCCTCCAAGCGATCCGAGAGCTCTTCAAGTCCCTCCCATGGAAGTAAGAATCGCACAGTGCGAAACGGCTTGTAGATTAGATTGTAAGGCATCATCAAATCACCAAAGAAAGGGAGGATCTCCTTTTCGCAAAGGCCTCGCCTCCATAAACTCGATGTAGGCAATGCGCCGGCGAAGGACGCCAGGACGCACAAAGTCGGTATTTCCGTCCAAATATGGAAAGGCCTCACGGACCTTGCTGCATCAGGTACAAAGACTTGGTTAAAACCGACCTGAAAACCACCACATGGAATTCATTTGTCCAAATTCCAACTCCCACGACCTTCCTTTGTCTTGACTGCTAGCTTGGAGCGTGGCCCGGTCCAATGTGACTTTGTTGGAGATGATCTGCATGGGGCCAGCCTCCGCATCTGGGAATAGTTACTACTATTCTACCATGAGATAGTATGGTAAAACACTATGACAGACAAAACTCGCAAGCAAACTCAGCAGCCGACTCCGTCTGCCAGTTGGTAGCCGATATGTTCCCCGGATTCGGACCAGAACTTCTCGATGACCTGCAAGACTCAAGAAGCCAAGGCAACGCATGCGCTTCATTACGCTTGGTAGCGCTCCATGCCTGCAAATCCCTCAAATCATCCATGCCGAGCATGGCATCAGCATGGCCATGTGTCACCAGCAAGGCATCGATGTTTCTCACACCGTATTGTGGCAGTGCTGCCAGTGCTGCCTGCAGGGGTAACACATGAGCACAACTACATACTTGCCTGGCATGGAAGGGAAAACACAAACTGACAGACAAAAAGCAAACAAACCAACCAACCAACCATACTAGTATCAATCTGTCAGTGTTAAGTTTTATAGAAATGTATAAAGACTACTAATGACTATACCCAAAATATCCCAAATTGCCAAACATTGCTTGTCTAGTCAATGATTAAATCAGCCTGTCGTAAAGTCTTCCCTGCATCCACCATCACGTGCCGGACCTGCTTGCATGGCACTCACCCAAAAACGGGCACTCCCTTTGACAGCCCAACCAAGCGTGCCAGCACCACCCGGCTCCCATCTGGAGGGCTATATCGCAGAAGCAAGGAGACGTTGAAGCGTCGATTCTTTGAAGATGGATTCTGATGAGCATCCTCAATGCACTGGGTGCTGGTTCGACAATGTCGGTTCAACACTGTCGATTTGTGCGGTGATGAATCCCAGCGAAAGTTGACTTGAAACTGCTGAGGATTGTGAGTGCAATCCTGTGGCTCAGATTTGCTGTGTCTTGGCGCTCACCCAAAAGAACAAATCCAAGGGAGAGTAAAGGAAGGAGCACGCACGTTTTGTGTTTTGAAGTTGGGTTTGTTCAGTTTGTTCCATGAGAACTACAAGGACCTGAGAGTGCTTTCAGTTTGATCCGATGTCTTCTGGGTCTTATGGGCATAGCTTGCAGTGTTGATCCGCATTGCGTGGGTCCCCATCCTCACAGACAGTCAGTCCATCTGCTTTGCGAACCGCCTTGGCCTTGGCCCATCTGCACAATGAACAGGTCAAAGTCCAGTGGATAGCAAGGGAAACGTACAGCAAGTGTAGCGTGGTGCACAAAAAATGTAGCATGTAGATCAGCAAGTGTTAGATAGTGTTAGTATAGCATAGCAGCTAGCAAATTCAAACACAGAAACTTCTGAGTCCCACGCAGTTTCGCAATGTCCTTGTAAGATGTGGGAAAGCTGCGGCACAGCAGTTGACACTCCCGACCTGCCATGGGAGGAAGGTAAAATCCGTCTTGGGCATTCCAGTTGCTCAAAAAGTCAAAAGAAGAGACAGTGGCAGAAGCTGTTTGAGCTTGTTGCTCAGTTTTTACAGGCAAGAAATAGCAGAAAAGACCAGGCATAGAAGGTTCAACACCAAAGAAGCTTCAACACGAACCCTCGCGCGCGTCGCACCCCAACACCACAGCGTCGAAGCTTCCCAGCTTCGGTGGTGCAACATTGCACCGCGGTGCGTGCCGGACGCCTTGACGCACCTCAAGTGTTTGCCGTCAAAAGATGCCAAAAGCACATGTGCCACCCACCCCCTACCCGGCCCTACCCCTACCAATCCAGTGTTTGCCGTGAACTGCACCGCCCCAAAGAACAGCTCGGACTTGGACCAAGGCAGTCGTTGCCATGCTGAAATCCCTACAAGGACATGGCTCATGCCCGCTCAGGACGTTTGTGAAGCTGGTGGATGTACAGATTCTGGAGGGTTGCAACTATTTATATACTGTAAATGGAATACTGTAAATGGAATGCAACAAACCAGGGACAAGTTGGCGACAGTATGGAGAGTCACAGAGATTGTACAGAGGAATTCTGTGAATCTATTGCCATCTGACATGTTCCAGGCTTCACATGTGTTCATGGCCGAGGCTTGCTTGCAGTTACTGTATCTGCTTTCATGCTTTCATACAAAGGAACCTGCTCACGAGTGGGCTGCGGTATGATGCACAACTACCATTGACGTGCTTGGGAACACTCAGAAACTGATGCTCCCTCGAGCTCTTTGGGAGTTGTGCACATCTTCTTAGACGTTGCACTCTGTGAAGATTTCAGCGGATCTTTTTGAAGTGTGACACCTTTCTAAGATACACGTTGCTCAGCTGTGCCACAGAGCTTCAGGGTGCTTCGCCCCCACAGGCCCTGGCACAGAGGGGTCCAACAAAGTCTAAAATGTGGCACGCCTGAACCACAAACGGAATATCCTTCATTTTCAAACGTTCAAAAGATGAGATCTATGCCAAAAGTTACATACGACAATATACAACAAGCTTAAGCCCAACCTGCGCAGCCGATCTGCAAGGGGTGTTTGCTCTGTCTCCTCAGAAGAACCAAAAAGGGCCAAAGGGTAATCTGAAATGCGTTCAGAAGTGTATGGTCTGTAATTATCCCCATGAACTGTGAAGGGAGATAAAAGGAGCAGGAAAAAGGGCTTGCTGAGCAAAAAGCTAGGTATGGTTGAAGTCGAAGTAAACGTTTGGGAAAGCTGTGGGTCAAAGGAGGTTCCACGCTGTCAGTTTTGCCAAGTCTACCACCATTTCAAGCAGCTGCCTGAGCACAGCTGACCCAACTGGTCCAAAGCCCATCTGAACAGCCAAATGATGCACTCAGCTAGTTTGGATGATGTCTCCGTTGTTCCTTCATAATTATCTACAATTGGTGTTTGTCTCAGTTTCTTGACGAGCGAATGTTCATTCAATGCTGAGATGTGCTGAGTTTCCCCACAAAGCCTTGGTGGCATCACCGGTTTCTGCTGCTCGTGCCGCAGCCGCCACCTTTGCGACAGCTGCCGTCGATGCATCACAATCGTGAAGAACATCGCCGGATCTTTTGGGTCGACTCTCAGGTCGTGGCAATGAAGCATGGACGAACATCGCCACGAGTTCGCAGGAGAAGCCGCAACCTTTGGCTTTAAAGGCACATACAGTAGATGCATAATGATGCAATTAGTTGTTTGAACCCGAGAAATGCTGGCTTCCATGTCTTCGACTGTAAGTTGTGTCTCGGGCCGGGTCCCGACATCCTTCTGGACTAAAGCATTGTTCCACATGTCAAGAATACCCCGTTGTACTGGCGTCCGGGGTCAGTACCGGATAATTTCCAGGGACTGACGGGTTTTTAGCCAAAACCGGTGGATAAATTTGAAGGCCAGAGGGCCAACATAAGGCTCCCCCAAAAAAAAGTACACAACCAGTGCAGATAGATAATCTTGAGAAGGCCTGAGGTTAGCAAGCTAGACGAATAGGATCGAGGAACCCCCCACCCAAAAGTAGATGCTAATCGACAAACGAGACAAAAAGAAACGATCCCAGGCCCAGGTTTTTTTCCAACGCTCTATGTGCTCTGTGGTGGTCTGCAAAACTAAGGATTGTTGCGGAAGTCTGCAACCCTTAGAAGGTTGGTTGTGGTTGCGGTTGAGGTTGGTCTGGAATCAATGGATCCAACCACTTGCAATAGAATGTCGATTGCATGGCCCGCAGTGCTGGTCGAACAGTACATTTTGGCCGGTATTTTGTGGACTTGACAGCCGCTCTGGACTTAGGAATGCCAGCGGGAGTTTATCAGGGTTACGATGCCCAGAGCGACAGGGAAGCAGCTTCTTTGTTGAACAGAACTTCTGCATTGAAATTGTTTTGTCCAGATGTCAGCGCACCTTTTTTTATATTCGCTGCCGTTGAGCAATTTTTTTGAAAGCTCTCCAGACCTAGCAGAAGCAGCAGAAGAACATTAATTCAGCGTATCCCACAACTTGTCATTTGTATATCCCCCCAACCTTAGACCAAGGAAAATATCCAGGTTGTTTTTAGGACGCACATGTTTCACACGTGTCCTTTTCACGTGCCCCACCACTATTTTTCAGACTCCTCATGTCGAAACACAGGGTCCCACTGAGAATGATCCAGAGCTGAAAGGTGCTGACCAAGAGTGCTTCCAGCTGTTGGAGCAGTTGAAAGCCCGCGGTGACTGATGCTTTGACGTTCCGTTGGCAAGTTTCGCTGACAATTTTTTGGTTCTCTGTGATCATGACGTCCATGGAGCTCGGAAAATCTAACGAGCGGAAATCTAACGAACGTCCAGCGAGCGATGTTCTATCTTTTCTTTCCTTTTCTACTCCCACTACCGAGTGGATAAAATTGGAGCGTTTATTCTGGATATTTTTGATGCACTGACCCCATTTTATCCACCCCAAAAAAGAATTATCCACTCCTTACTTGGGTTGCTGGCAGGCTGGCACACAGATAAAGTCCAGGCACTGACCCCTCCAATTTTATCCACTCAGTCAAGATGACCCGTTACTACCCATTATATCTCTCGACCATTGCCTTTCAGAAAGGATCAAAGAAGACTCCAAAATCACTCTTGGCTCACGACTCATCGGTCAAGGACCGTCGTGATGGAGCGAAATGACGTTCACAACTGCTGAGCATTGCACTGATTCCAGACCTCGGAGTCCCGAAGCCCCGTCGCCGAGACCCCGAAGATGCGGCGCTGAGCTGGAGACTTTCCCACCTTTAGTCGCTTCCTGACAACGAATGATGAAATGATGTGGGATGTCCCTGGGTACATGGTGGCAATCAGTTTTTATGAGAATAACAAGTCAGTGCAATTGACTTTGGCCTGTCCATTGCAGCAAAGAGTGGCCATGCCTGCAATGTTTCAGAAAGGAGCAGGAGGTCTGGTGCTTTTTTTGGTGGAACTACCACCACTATGATTTGTTTGTATAGGCTTGCTTGTGTAAAGGAAGTTCTTTCACATCCGCATCCTACACTGTGTTCAGTTTGGCAATCCGGCTGAGGCCATAGCCACTCGGGCGCCGCCAAGCCTTGCGTGCCGTGTGCGACAAGCGGTTGGAAGGACACCCAAGCGCCGATGGAACCACGCACTCTGTTACATGTTGGAGTGTCAGCGAAGTCATCAGGATCATCAGAACGTCACCTAGATGAAGACCACAGGAGGTTGCCCAGCTCCTTTGCAATGCTGGTAGCAGTCTCGGAGAACTATGTTCCTTTCTTTTCGCATCTATATATGTCAAACAAACAAATGCAAACTGCTTATATCTTGGCTCTACTGAACTCTGTCGATCAAGGCAATAATCTGCGTGGATCACAAAGCCCTGCGTCCTTCGAACCGAACTCCTCCAGCTTTTGCAATGCCGCAGTCGAAATTACGTTCACCAAAGGAGACCTGGCCAACTTCTGTGTCGCACTTCAGCCAGGCGTTCCATGAATTTTGAATGTACTGGCATAGCAGCTTCGATGTCCTCATCCTACAGGTTGGTTTGAACCTAGGCCCTAGGCAATAATTGGGTCTGTAAGGAGTGACATTGACAGAGTCTGTCAATGTCACTCCTTACAGACCCAATTATTGTCAGAGGTGGTCGCCCCATGTTGTCACTGCATAGCAGGCGTCCGATTTTTTGTCATAGCTGTCATCTTAATCCATTTATGTGCAGATGTTTGAGAGAATGCTCAAAAAAGACATCGCCGGGCACACTAAGCAAAGCTCATTTCTGCACCTGGGTGGCAAGTCTTTCTCCGGCCCGCCAGCCCAACATGCCATCAACGATACATTCTCAAGTTCTCAAGGCTGGCCATGCTGTTGAAACTCTATACACCGGTCAAACCACTTGTCTAGATCCCAAGTGCTGGTGTTGTTTGTTAAACGTTCAAAAAAACGATCTAGTTTTGGCAAAGAAACAAAAGTATTTGAGTTCCAACCAGATTATGAATCAAGCAGCTCCTATTGATCAAGCCTTGGGGCCCAGCAACCTCATGCAATGTTCGCCAAATGTTGTGGTTCGAGATCAGCTTGTCTCACCTTTCAGCACCAAGGCAGTGAGAAAGCAATCCTCACTTCTTAACGACCATCGTTTGAGGCCGATCGTGATAAAGCGACACCAAGAGATCCAAGACGCAAGCCATCTGGGATGTCATGAGTTCGAAGCTCACATTGGTCTGGATCTGGAGTACCTTGGAGACTCCCAGACTCACAAAGCACGGCAAGCCTGATACATAGCAAATCTGCAACTGTTGTTTGAAAACAGAATGTGCAAAAGCCTGCCTGTTATTCAGCATAATTGAGGCATCCGGTGTGGCAGTACAAAGCAGTGCCAGGCCACGGGTCCCCGGTCAATGAAGGGTGATTAGGCATCTGGCTCTGAAGTTCTATAAGATGTTTGCAGTTTCCTGCTGGGACTCCAAGCAGCTGAGAACCCTCCTTCTTTTCAGCATTGTGTTGGCTGTCCTGTGGCCGAAGCTACGGTGCCTTCATCATGCTTGCAGTTGCCTTAGCCACTTTGTGTCAAAGCCTCTTTTGTCACACAACACCAGACACCACCAAAGCATTCATAGCACATATTCAGATACCAGTATATACTCAACTTATTTCAGCTCCAGTCTTTTCTGACACGTTCTGCTCTTGGATTGCTATTGAGAGCCTGACTATTCCATTCAATGTCGGTGCCTTCTAGAGGTAGCAGATGGCGAAAGACTGCGCTATGTTGGCCAAGTGCTGTGGAGAAAGCTCCTCGCATCTGGCAAGCCTGCGGCGAGTGCTCTATTGGATCACGCGGAAACCACCTTGGAGCACAGGAAGTTTGTTATCTTGCACACTATGGACTATGGCCTGAAAATTGTGGACATCTGTTGTTCATATATACGTTTGACAAGTTCGGACTCTGGAATTCCATAGGCTCAGTCACATAATTGCTGGCCTTGTCTGACGTATATGTTGATAACGGATGGATTTGCAGCAACGAGTCCAACATCCATAAGATCTACCGTAATCTCTCCCGGCCTGCTGGCCGAAGCTGCCTCTAAGAACTACTTGTCGAAAAGGTTGAGGGTCCTCAATTAAAGCTTTCTCAGTCAGTTGCCATTTCTTGTCGCCAACACATCCAAGCTCCACCTGAATGCCCAAACGGCATTGGAAATCTCTTACGGGCGAAATTCGGCCTTGGGAAGGTTTAATCTCAAAGAAGCTTGGTACAGGTTGAAACACAAAAGGCATGATTGAGTTTAGTGATGCTATGTGGTGATAGAAACACAATTGAGTTGGTATGCTGGGCGTCGTACGAGGCGAGAAAGGGTTTGCTTTGATGCGATTTGAAGGGCCTCGAGCTGATCTGTTCAATCAAATACAGCACAGGGTCAAGCAATGCATTTCCAAGTCTCAAACTGGTTGGCCATTCCAGAGCAATGTCGCTAGACTTCAGCTTCTGTTTGCCTCAAATGTATCATAGCACTAAAAAGTGGCATGCCCATGTGGTTAGGCGGTGGCCAAGCACTTTGGGTTGAACTCATCATTGCTCATGTCAATCACCTTGGAGACTTGCGGAAAATACTGACTGTTTCAAAGTTAAAGTCACAGGGACAGTTTTGCAGGAATCTAGCTGAGTCTTAGGTGTTCCACCGCTCGTGCCAGCATGGAAGTTGCCAGGGGCATGTCCTGAATGTCAAATCAATAGAATAGAAAATGGAATCAAAATTGTTCTGGACTGGAACGAACGGATCATTTGATGAGTCAAATATGCCGTTTCACTTTGGTCTCTCTGCGACCTTCCATAGATGTGCCACATGAGTTCTTGCGCTAAGTCCAGGACGATGCCCAAATCCCTTCCACCCTGCAGCTTCGCCAGTCGATAGAGTGCAAAAGCCTGAGCCGCTCAAGCACTTGAGTGAGGGCCAAAACGAAGGGCTACGAAAGCCTTCCAACACGTCTTTGTCGCGCAAAATCTCTGACTGAGTGAAAGGCGACATCGTTTGAGTTGAACATGGGCCTCAGCAATCGTCTTAAAGCATTGACCGCTTCGACTTCATCTGTTGTCCTCAAAAACCTTTCCGAGGCTTCGGCAGGAAACGGTCGCAAATGTCCAACAATTCTGGTACATCTTTGCACCGCATCATCTGCCAGGCGACCCCCGCAGAATGAAATCTCAGTGGGGTGAGAGGGATCACGATGACGCGCTTAGATATCAATGCTTGTCCTCTCGCCTGCACAGTGTAAACCTGCCGGGCATTGCCTCTGATGTCACACGAGAATGCCAAGCGCCAAGAGTTTGTGAACTCTTCAACCGTGGGCTACTTACTTTGAGATTGGAGATATGACGCAATCAAAACCTGGCCTGACCCCTAGTGTCGCCTTGGCAGACTTGCCTCAATCTCATGTTCAAAGTCATAGAGCATGTCCAGGTTTTGTTGGCATCACAAACGACTGCGCGACAGACAGAGAGCCGCCGCAAGGCATTGCCGCACGCTGGTTGCATCAGACTCACTGGAAAGGCTTTTCTCTAGAGGATCACGTTCCATGCAAATCATAATCATAATATCATAATATCAATATTTCGACATTGTGCGTGCCACATTCCTGTGGAAATGGACGTTGGATGTATGATATGCTTGGCATGGACATTGCATGTCTTTGTTTTCTTTGTTATGCGAACGAATTGGGCTCCTAGAGGTGAGAACGTCGCGTTGTTTTCAGCTCCTCTCGACGGTCACAAGGAATAGATCACTGGGGACAATGGAAAAACAATGCATCCGTTCATTCAACATGTGCTTGCAAGAGAACATTTGAGGAAACAAAAACCACAAGAAAGTCGCTAGATATTTGAGCAAGTGCTCAGCAGACAACCCAAGGCATTGCCACAACCCTCAGGTGCTCTTTCGCCACCAATCATACTCTCATCTGAAGCAAGCGAGCGCATTCACTCAGCTTCCAGACAGTAACACGGGCCATCGAATTCTTTTCAAAACTCCAATGACCACGGGAAAAAACTGATCGAGAACTCGAGAACATTGACATGACAAAATCTGTGAACGCTATCTCGCTTTCATCTCATTGATCGCATCGCCTGCGATACCAGCCTGTAGCAAGCCAAATAAGGTCAAGAACTACTAGGAGCAAGGACGCTACTAGGGGCTCCTGGCCGTACTACTAGGAGCAAGAAGCTACTAGGGGCTCCTGGCATCGTTACTAGGAGCATTCTTACTACTAGTAACAAGAAGCTGCTAGTCAAGAACAACATTCTCCCTTCGTATCGCGTCATCGCGTCATCTCAGCGGATCACCCGTTCGGTTCATTTCATTGGATGACAATTGTTGAAAATCTGAGGCTTCAACGATGGCTTTGTCATCGGCACGTGGCAAATAGTAATACCTCAGTGCAAACATGTCCAAACATTGGAGGATTCCAGTTGGCAGGCCAACTGCTGCAGCCTCCGAACTTCTCAATGCAGCCTGGGCACCTCCCTTGAGCTCGATCAACCAATGTCTTCGCAACTCCAGAAGAGACATACTTGTTTTCTGTGTCGATGAGCAAAAACTTGAAGCCTCTGCCACCAGTGGCGTGACCATGTGACGACTGTGATAACAACACAATAGCACATCAAACAATATTGTTTGTTTGTTTTGCAGCCGCCTAGTGCTCTCATCTTGTCCGCAAGAATGTAGGCTTCTTCCTAACAGAAAACAATAGAAAACACTTTGAAGACTTCACATGTGTGTATCTGTCACACAAGAGCCACTTGTGGCACTGCTGCAGAGTCTGCAAAATTGGAGCCTGCAAGTCTTCCTTCGGCACTTTCTTCATTTTGCCATTCTCATCCTGGCGCAAATCGAACATCCAGGAAATTAATTGGCTAGGCCTTTCCTTTCAGCCAGTTGCAAAGCTGGTTGAGAAGGAGCTAAGTGGTACAGCCGTCAATTCTTTGCCCGGAACAAATCCATTTGTGAAAGCCCGGTCCAGAGCGGTTTCATCACCCTCGCTGACTGCAAGAGGTACATTCGCACGGCCATCGGTGATGGCAACCACACAAACCTGTGGGCTGTGCATGAGTGAAGGCAAGAAGAGTTATCGGCTTTGCTTTGCGTGTTCATGTTCTCGGTGTGGGAGAGTGGAAAATGAGTGGCATTGCCGCAGAATATATTTATGTTCAATACATACTCTTCACTCTGACTCAGACTTCCGTGCAAATCAGACTTGAAGTTCCAAATGAACTTTGGCCTGGCCAACATCGGAACTCTTCATCGCATTGGTCCCAAGTAGAATGGCCTAGACGAGCAAAGTCTTTGAGGGCTGGGAGATGCTGGGAGTCTTTGAGGATCAAACGGAGTCTTAACTAAGCTAGAGTCTAAACGGGCGGATCTTCCGTGTCCGCGGTGTTGATTGATTGTACATGTATATATTATACATAATGTGTGTGTGATTGTGTGATAGTGATATTGTGTGTCCTCATTGTCGCCTTCGGTGATCTGAACTCCAGTACAACAGAGTGAGTATCCCTTGAGCCTGGGAAAGGGCATGCGCCAAGGGTGTTCCTCCACCACATGGCAACACCTGCCAAGAAGTGAGGGTCTGGAGTGCTCAAGAATGAGAATTTGGAAGTTAAAGGATCTATTTCCTTGCCGAAGCAATCGCCTTCATGCTGCCACTGGCACGAGCCACAGAAGAGGTTGGCTGAACCAGAACCTCCACATGCAACGACTAAAAATGCTTGCTTCCTAGCTTGACCATTCGATGGGATGAGACTTGGCCTCTGCTGAGATGCCACGGCAAGGCACTAGCGCTACCTGGAAAACACTTGTCAATGTCAACCAAAAAACAAGTTCGAGTTGATGCAAGCATGCAATGCCCTTGCAATGTCCGCGCAAAACTGTACCATGCACGATGTTGGAGCCTGTCCTGGTCACGATTCTGATAGGCGTTCTCAAGCAATCGCAAGACTGCGCCCTTCGCATTTTGCATGCGGTTCAGGGCCATTGATCCTCAGATCCAAGTGACATCTGAAGACTCCCTCAAAACGGGTTAAGCTTGCAACCACTGGCATCCACGACAAAGATCACCAGGGCACCCGCCTGTGAGACTTGCCATGAGTGTCTTGGTAAAGCCTTCGCTCTTCATTTTGGTTCAGATGCAAGCCTTCCGAGCCATCTTCTTCACCCAAATGTCACTGCGCTCAATGTACACATTGCGCTGCTCCTGTCAAAGAATTGTCAATTGACAGACAACTGGATGAAACCGGTGGAGGCTGCTCGGCTCAAGTCCTCCGGTTTCAATTTCTTTGCCGCCTCTTCTCTTCTCATCTTTTGGTAGACCACAGCCTTAGCCAATGATAAGTTTTTTCCGTGAGTCTGAAGAAGCACTCGGAAGAGAAGCAACTACATCATTCTCTAGAAGAGGTGGAAGGTTCCTTGATGTCTCTTGGACCTTTGGAGAAAGAGTGATTGTTTCGTTGCTACCTGTCATGCCTTGGATCATTTAGTCGTCTTTTCTGGGCAGCACGCATTTCGCAGCGTGGCGTCCAAAGCAATCTTCCCACTCTTTGTATCACCACCCTTTGGCAACATTGCCTGACAACATATTCAAGGCTGAGGGCTTTGCAGCTGTGCAGCAGGAAGACTGCAAGAATGTTAACTGAAAAGGGTGCATGTGTCGAACATCTGTTGCCCAAAGTCTCTGCTTTGATAAACCAAGAAGACCTGCGGCCTGCGTTCTAACTTCGATGGTACTGCATATATATATATGTGTGTGTGTGTGTGTTTCCGACCGCGATCGACTCCACCTTGACGTACCGACCGCGATCCATTGAGTAGATCTTGTTGCCTTTGCCACTGCGGCCTTGGAAACAGCTGAGAAACGCTCAGAATATATTCAGTGTCTCCACCTCCAAAGGTTGCCAAGTGACAGTACCAATGGGGTCCAATCTTGTCCAACAGAGTCACCGGACTTTGCATGGATGTCAAAAAGTGCAGAATGTGTACAAGTTGCTCTAAGAGCCTATGTAGGCCTTCATAAGATGAACAGAAACAAATAGCTATTTATATCTCCAAAAATCTCGAAAAGGGAACAGTAAGTAGGCAATTGATGGCAATTGCCTTGCGCAAATATACGAAAAGTGCCTTGAGTCTCTGCATCAAGGACTCTTTCTGAGGGCCTAGCCACTCTTCTTCTGCTTCTGCTGGAACTTGAGGAGGTCAGGATCGACCACTGCACCTCAAATTGATAAAGTATATACTTCCGGCATCTTCCACCACTTCAGATCCATGTCATGTTCAAAACAACTCCTGACTCAAGTGACTCAACATAAGCGCCTTCGGGGTCAATCATGAACTCTTCAGGGACATCCGGATCCTGGTCTTCCTGCAGGAAGCTAGTTGGCAAGTTGGAGTGGTGTTTGCGCGCGTGCGTGTTATATCTATCAATGCATTGACACAACAGGTCGGTACTCGGCCAGATTGGCTCTCACGCAGCAGCCCCATCAATCACCCACATTCAATGCACACTCGAGAACACATGCAAGCTGCAAGCCGCCTGATCTTGATCTTCATCAGGTTCTTCCTCTTCCTCCTGTTCTTCCTCTTCATATTCATCCTGTGTGCACGGAAACTGGAAAGCTATAGCATCTTCATTCCACCCTTCCAGTTGGCAGAAGACACAGGTCCATGTCGTTTTTATCATATATATATAGACTACTCACTGCAGGCCTGCTCAGGCGGAGGCTCCATCTCCTTTGGTAGTGTGTGCTTATGATGTTGCACTTCTACGTGCCAAACATGTTGGGATAACGATACATGACCAAATAGCCAACAGCACGTCTACAATTTCACATCGTTTTAAACTTTGCACGCGACGAAAACATAAGGGGCACCAAGAAGCATAAGAAAACCCCGTCACTGTGTGCTCCTCGGGGTCTTCTTGGTCAGGCTGTGGGGGTGGCGGTGGTGGCGGTGGCGGTTCCTCTTCCTCCTGGCATTCATTCGCCCACCGGTCCACATTTCACATGTGGACAGATCGGTTGCCGAAATGACTAGATGTGTCTCACAGTGATTTCAATGTTCCTGTTCAATGCCCTTCTGCTGATCAAAAGTTATAATGAACTTGTCACAACAATGGAGCAAACTTGGCCTCAATTTCCTCCTGCATTTGTGCTTCCTGAACTCTGATGCGCGGCCTCAGCACTCTGTGATTTGCATCGACAACAGTAACAACCCCACCAAGGCAACGACAGGATTGCAAGTTTGATGGCTTGTTTCAGGTCTTCAGCATTGCAAACGTCACGGCCTGCAATGTCCGAAGCTGTCTTTTTCAATTGTTTTCACTTCCAGCGAGACAGGTCAACGTCAAGTACCATCATGCCCAGAAAATGCAATACGTAATACCCGCATACCCAACAGACTCGTCACACTACAGCCCCATTGTATGGACCAATCTGCCGAAGTGTTTAGCCAATTGAGCTGCTACAGTAAGCTTTACACTTGCACAAAAACACTGTGTTGGTTGGACCACAGTAGCACCAAAGACTACAGCTTCACACTGGATTGTGGGAAGCAGGGCTGAAAGATTCCCTCTCAATTTGCAGCGGGCACCAGCGTTATACTTTCGTGATTGTGCTGCACAAAATGCCAGACCGATTAGAGGCTACAACCTCATGTCCACCCCAAGGGCGGGTGGGCACCACACAAGCTATCACAGATCGAGTTCACCTTTAATAGCGTCAAGCCGATAATCAAAACTATTGTAATCAAGATGACAATTTGAACACACTTGAGCCAGGTATGCAGAGTACGTGCAGGTGCAGCGGGGCCGGCCCGCACATTTTGGGTACCATTGCAGGAGAGGGGAGCGCAGACTTGGATCTCTGGGCCAGAATTTTGGTTAGCACCACTTACAAAGCTCATCACAAATCTCTACCTGATAGTTTGCGTAGTTTGCAGGCAGGGTTTATTGTAGTAATCGCCGTCTTAGTTGTCATAGTCATACTTGATGGTGGCGTGCTTACAACCTAAGTTGTTACCTGGTGAAGTAGAGTTGTAAAGAGATTGACCTTTGATACAACTAGCAGAAGCTGTTCAAATGCTGGAGAATCTATAAACAACATCGAGGGACTTACAAGTTGGGTGCAGCATACTTACAAGTATTGCTATAAGTTGTGCAAGGACGGAGGGTTTTCATACTTTGCATACTTACACTAGCTGCAAAGCTCTTGGATGGATGGTTTAAATGCAAGCATGCATGAGGAAACTTGGCCGGACCTAAAGTAGTCTTCGCTTCTTTGGAGAAACGATTTCTCGCGCGTCCCGGGCATGGTTTGCATGCTGAGCTCTGTGTGGGATAAATGATTATGTATCTTTTGGAGTTGAGCTCTGTGTGGGTGGGGTTGGAAACAAAAAATACTACTACTATCTATTATCTACTATCTACTGCTACTGCTGCTGCTACTACTACTACGACGATGACGACGACTACTACTACTATTATGAGTACTACCACGACTACGGCTACGACAAAAACTACAACTACTTGGATGGTCACGCGCCTATAGCCACTGCTCGCATACATGCAGTCGATCATAAGTATGTCAACTGTTAGTTCTACTTCTACATAAGTGCGCTAAGTAGTGTAAGCGGCGTTTGAAAAGTATGGTTTTAAGAATCAAACCGGGATATCTGCAAAACCTTGCAGCAAATGGTCTAGCAGCAGCAGCAGCAGCAGAAGCAGCAGAAGCAGTAACAGTAGGAAAAGGAGTAGGAGTAGGAGTAGTAGTTCTAGTAGTCGCCGTCGTCCACGTGGATGTTGTTGTTGCTGTTGTTGCTGCTGTTGTTGTTGCTGTTGTTGCTGCTGTTGTTGCTGCTGCTGTTGTTGTTATTGCTTTTGCTCTTGCTCTTGTTCTTGCTCTTGTTCCTGTTCCTGTTCCTGTTCTTGTTGTTGGTGTTGGAGTTGGTGTTGGTGTTGCTCTTGCTGTTGCTGTTGCTGCCGTTGGTGTTGGTGTTGGTGTTGGTGGTTGTTGTTGTTGTTGCTCTTGCTCTTGCTCTTGCTTTTGTTCTTGTCGTTGTTGTTGTGCTGCTGCTGCTGCTGCTGCTGCTGTTGTTAGTGTATATAGCTTGTAGCAGTTATCATGAATATCAACAATAAGACAGCAGAAGTCTGTGGGGGGGTGCGCATAGGCACGGGCACGGGCAAAACCCTGCCAAAAGCCTAAGATATTTCTATCAAGCGCGTCAAGCCAAGTTCACTGCTAAACCCAAGCGCGCGAAAGCAAGGTGCATCACAAGCACCTTAGTCGCAAGTACCAACATCCCAACAGCCCAACAGCGCCGGCGTCAGTCCACCATCAGCTCTACCAGCGACCAGCACGCACCATACGCACCCTGTGCTCATTGAAATCGCCGTTGGCAGCAAGTTCCAAGCTGCATGTTTTGCAATTGAACCCATCTTGTCCGATGAATCAAGGCGTCACGCCAAAGATTTGGAAGGGCAAATCACACAACAGGTAGATAAGAACAATATAGTCAAAGCAGTGGCAGAGACAAGACCTGAGAAAGGAGAGGACGAAAGCCAGCGAGAGACCAATATGGTAGTGCAAGACTGGGAGGAAAAAATAGCGGAGCACTTATTGTTGAACGCCTGTAGCTTTCGTGGGGCTTGTATCAACGTGGAGTAGATCAAGATCGGAGCACAGCATGGAGCGTTGAATGTTTTAGGTTTGCTCGATTTTCCTGGCACGGTGCTCTCTGGAGCGTCCCTGTTTGGTGGTCTATTTGAACATCCGTGTAAAAATAAACGTCAGTGAAGACCAGGAGAAGGATGCCCGAAAGGTGGTTTTTGGTTGTTTTCAAATGTGTTTCGGGCATCGGGCATCAATGCGAAGCCCTATAAAGAGCAGGGCTGGGAGAAGAAAAAGAGGAGAGCACTCATTCTTGAATGGTTGTAGTTTTCGTGGAGCTGGTATCACTGCGACGTAGATGAAGATCGGAGCACAGCATGAAGCGTTGAATGTTTTTAGTATTCTTGATTTGCTTGGTGCGGCGCCTTCTGGAGTGTCCCTTGTTGGTGTTCTACTTGAAAATCCGTGCAAAAGAAACGTCAGTGAACACCAGGAGAATGATGCCCGAAATGGTTTTTGTGGTTGTGTTGAAATTTCGGGTATCGTGCATCAATGCGAAGCCCTATAGAGAGCAGGGCTGGGAGGAAAAAATAGCAGAGCACCTATAGTTGAAAGCTTGTAGTTTCGTGGAGCTGGTATCACTGCGACTGAGATCAAGATCGGAGCACAGCATGAAGTGTTGAACGCTTGCAGCTTTCTGGCTTCTCCTCTTGCGGCGCTCTTATCCCCAAGCCTCTATCTACCTCGCCCAACTGGACATACTCACATCGTTCGCTCCCAGAGCGTTCACTCTTTGTTGCTTGGTCCTTCTTGATATGATCAGAGCTACACAGTCCCTATGCCCTGCTCAGGACTAGAAAAATTGTCTCCAGACCCCTTCATGATGCTAATGATGCACTACTCGGCTGTCCATTGCATCACTCGCATCACCAGACCCCATCTTGACTGCTTTTCTGACCCTCGCTTTGGAGCGCTCTCCCCCACCAAGCTCCGGGTATGGAGCTGCCAGAAGCTTTGGTCTCCTTTGGTTGGTACTAAAGAGCGCTTGCGCTGTTGAATATTGGGCTTGGCAGGCCCTCTCGCCTGTTGCTGGGCATGTTTGACTCTTGATGTTCAAGGGTGCAGGCAAGTGCATTTGGACAACTGCCGACTACATCAGCTGAGCCGTGCTTCAATTATTTGGAGCTTCATTCGATGACGAGTACACATGAGCTGTCTTGCACTCGCGTGGTGCTCGGAAGAAAAGAACCTCCGAAGCAGACGCATCCCATCCCATGTGGTGGTCCACATTGAGTGCATTGCTGACGCAGCACCTTGACGAAGTATACTTGGATGATCTTGGATGATTTTTACGAAAGCCAGCCGATAGGCTAGGCTTGAGCTCTTAGAGCGAACGAAGTGAGTTAAGGGGGTGTGGGGGGGGAGGGCGCGAAAAGGCACATTTTGAGAGGATGAAGCACGTTATGTAATGTAGAAAGGGCTGTTTTGTTCGTAACCCGTAACCTCACCTGGACCTGTAGCTTGCCCACAAATCAACTTAGATCGCAACGTTGCAAACCAATTTCAAAACTGTCAAAATGACACCTTGAACATACTCGAACCAAATGCATATAAAATACTATGTGCAAAAGGCCAAGTGAACCTAAAAATAGAGAGAGAAGTCGTAACCCCAAACGCTAGCTGCTAGCACAACCCGCATGAATCAGCTGCACGGAGCCATTGGAACGAACAAATCATAACTGTTCACCAAACGCGAAGTTCTTCTTCAAACGTCCAAGCTTGCAAATGCAGGCCTTGAAGCGCAGCATGAGCACGGGCGATCTTGACGGCAAACACCTCACCGCGGTGACCTGTAAGTAAAGCAAGCTAATTTCATCCAATTTCACTCTCAAAGAATCAAGCTGAAAATCACAGCATGGCAGCATGCACTGGCTTCTGGAACAAACTCTGTCCACACCTTCGCAGCCACCTCGACTGGCTTCCTCGGCAAGGCGTCCCATCTGCTCTTCAGTGATCTTGACCTGAACAGGAGCTTGGTTGAGAATGCGAACAAGTGTCGCTGAAACACCAAGATCCCAACGTCGTTGAGGAACTCACGTGCAAAAAGAAGCTGAGTCCTGAGTGCCCAGAATAAGTTCTACCTTCGACTTAAAGTTACCCGCTGACCGCCGACCCCGGAAATAGTTCTCTATATTATTGTGAAGTGGTCAGACTTTATTTGAGAAATTTATTTGTTGTGTCGTTGTTAGCGGCCAAAACCATTGGACCCTTCTTGAGCGCAAATGTGTTCTCAGTTCTCAAATATACAATAGTATTCAGTATACAGTCTAATACTGCACTCCTCCCGAATAAGCTTTGGTAAGGCCCTCTTGGCTATTGTCCACATGTTAAACCACCTTCTCGGAGAGCGCAATCTTGAGACAGCGACTGCATCGCAGTGATGTCCGCTGCACTTTCTTCCAGAGACTGCGATGGCCTGCAGTATGTATACATCAATATATATATATATATACGTATGTATGCTCACCCCCCATGATCTAACTACCTTTTCCTGCTTTTCGGCTCTTCTACCCTTTCCTGCTTTCAGCTCTTCCACCTTTTCCTGCTTCTACAGCACCTTTTCCTGCTTGTCTGCTGCTTTTCTGTACTGGGCTACCCCTTTGTGCAATAGTTTGTGTTGCAATATTCAGATAAAATTTAGGAAGGGAGTTAAAAAGAAATAACCAAAGAGTTCAAAGGGCAATTAGAAGACATCAAAAGGGACACTTAAAAAAAGGGATTCACACATGAAAATAATGAAAAATGAAAAGCGTAGACTTGATTGCAGGGATGTTAATATGAAAGCCAAACAGAGTATATATTATAGTAGGAGGTGGTTATGCTATTAAAGATTTCTAGTGTACTGAGCTGACCCCTTTATGGAATAGTTGTTGCAATAATAAGTTGATAAAATAGAATAAGAGACTTAAAAGAAAATGGGTAAAGAATTTGTAAGAACGTCAAGAGGAATCAACAAGAATGTATACAAATAGAATTCAAAAGGATTGAACAGGGACTCCATAGGAATCAAGAGGAAGTTCAAAGCACCAATAATTAGGACTGTTAAAAAGGAATTCACACATCAAAATAACAAAAATGAAAAGCGTAAACGTGAGCGCAGGGATGTTATTATTCAAGCCAAAAAGGACAGACATGTTTGTTCAAGATTTCTAGTGTACTGGGCTAACCCCTTTGGAATAGATGTTTGCAATAGTTTGATAAAATTAAGAAAGTGATCATGTAAACAAGAAAATAACCAAAGAAATCAAAAGGCCATCAACAGAAATCAAAACGATTTCAAAGGAAATCAACAAGGACCAAAAGGAAGTCAGTACAGTAGGTAATCAAAAGAAAAGACACAAGGAATTGTCAAGGGAGTTCAAAAACAAAAGTAATGAAAAATGAAAAGCATAGACATTGTTGCAGGGGATGTGTTAAATATCATACCAAAGCAAAGTGCAAACAATATTTAACGAGTAGTACCATTGACAAATTGAAAAGCGTAGACGCTAGTCCAGGTGTTACTATTAAAGCGAAGAGGGCAAACATTGATGTAGATGGTTTTTTATTCAAGATGTCTAGTCTACTAGGCTAACCACTTTATGGAATAGTTTTTGCGATAAGTTGATAAGATATAATAAGGGATTTTAAAAGAAATTGACTAAAGAAGTCAAAAGGAAATCAAGAGGAATCAAAAGGAATTTAAAAGATGAAATCAATTGAAATCAAAAAGAATATATATCATATTATATATATATACATATATAAATGTCAATCATTAGAATTCAAAAGGATTGAAAAGAGACTCAAAAGGATCAAAAGGGAAATCCGGGTCCAGGCGATTGTGCTTGTTTTCTTTTAGGGGGTCTTGATTTAAAATCGCTAAAAAGTAGGAAGTCCAAAAATTCAGAAAAGTGTGAACCCAATGTTTCCATTACAGTATTTGTGTGTTTGTGTTTTTGATTCAAAATCGTTAGAAACATGAGTTGGTTTACAATGTTCTAAAATATGTGTTGTTGACTTATTGAAAATTTATCAAAAAACATAGCACTATTCTGAAAAATGCATTTGTAGTTGGGAGCTAAAGAGGGGCACTGATTTCTGATAGGTGAACACATATATAGCTTTTGTATGGGCAGGCCCACGGAAAGCAGCTGTAGGTAATCATGGAGGGGTGCATGCATGTTTGCACCTGTGCAAGTGTTTGTGTGCGAGACTGGGCAAGTTGTCCCTTTAACTATGCTGCTTTGTGTTGCCTTGGAGGCCATGGTGACAACTCTCAGAGGGAGGAACCAAATCATTGGGGAGCTTCTTTGAAGAAGCGTGAGCTACCCTGCGTCCTAGCTAGGAGCGAACTAGTCGTCCTTACTTAATTAAGTAACCGCCTACTTACTTAAGTAACGGAGGCAGGGCCACAGGCCAAACAGAGAGAGAGAGAGAGAAGCGGGGGTTCTGTAGAGGGAAGCATGGGGTATTCCCGCCTTTCTGCAAAGTCGATGGCAGACAAGGCTGCGCTGACTCGCTCGTCCAAGTCTGTGTAGACAGTGGCCACATCTGTGTTTAGCCTTGGCCATGATCAAACCGACCTGGGACGTTAGCCTAGTAAGTCTGGGATGGTCGGTCTGGTTGATAACAACCCCACCTCCAACTACATTAGTCCTAAGTCTTGGCTCTTGCTCTGAGACTAGCACGAGATCGCCAGTCGATCCAACAAATGGGGCCGCAAAGGACCTGCGTCAGCTCATCGCTTCGACAGAACTGACAGGACAGTGCACGGACACCATCTACCTTCTTCTGGATTCCATGTGGCCACCACCAAGGGTCGACAAGGATGGGCCTCAGATTGGGGAACAAACAAGAAAAAATCCGCCCGCGCCGAAGGTGCTGAGGCGTTTTATAGGGCACGCATGATTCCGTAGTACCGTTAGTACTAACTGTAGCGTTAGCTAGGGGGGGGCCATTTTCGCTCTAGAATCCTGTGTTTTTCACGTTTTTGGAACCGGCTTAAAGTGCTTTCGTGCTCATGTTGGGTATCTCGAAGGCTTTAGGGATGCAAGAAATGTGAGTTTCTGCTTTGCATCATCTGCATCAGCTGAATCATCTGAGCGGCACACTATCTAACGGACATGTCTGCGAGATAGGGACTTGAACGTCCGGGTACGTGGGTGGTCAGGAGCAGAGATAAGCAGGTCAGGTCCAGGAACGGTAATATTATCTCCCGAGCATAGCTCCCATATGGTCGAACATAACTCCAGAAGTCCCTATCTCAAGTACGCTTCCTCGAGATAGGTACTTGAACGTCGTAAACATGGTCTAACGAAGGCTCCCAAGGGACTGGAATAGCGTGAAGATATTGTCTAACCGAGCGCTCGAAGGCACTATCGAAAGGACATGTCTGCGAGATAGGGACTTGAACGTCGTAAACTGGTACGCAACATAGCCCTCGAAGTCCCTATCTAATGGACGTGTCTGCGCGATGGGGACTAGAACATCCGGGAACGTGGCTGGTCCGGAGCAGAGATAAGCAGGTCAGGCCCAGGAACGGGTACGTAAGATAACCCTAGAAGTTACTATCCAACGGACATGTCTGCGAGATATGGACTGAGCGGTACGTAACATAACCCTAGAAGTCACTCTCTAACGGACATGTCTGCGAGATAAGGACTTGAACGTCCGGGTACGTGGCTGGTCAGGAGCAGAGATAAGCAGGTCAGGTCCAGGAACGGTAACATTATCTCCCGAGCATCGCTCCCATATGGTCGAACATAACTCCAGAAGTCCCTATCTTAAGTATGCTTCCTCGAGATAGGTACTTGAACGAGCGGTACACTATCGAACGAACATGTCTGCGAGATAGGGACTTGAACGTCCGGGTACGTGGCTGGTCAGGAGCAGAGATAAGCAGGTCAGGTCCAGGAACGGTAACATTATCTCCCGAGCATAGCTCCCATATGGTCGAACACAACTCCAGAAGTCCCTATCTCAAGTACGCTTCCTCGAGATAGGTACTTGAACGTCGTAAACATGGTCTAACGAAGGCTCCCAAGGGACTGGAATAGCGTGCAGATATTGTCTAGCCGAGCGCTCGAAGGCACTATCGAAAGGACGTGTCTGCGAGATAGGGACTTGAACGTCGTAAACTGGTACACCACATAGCCCTCGAAGTCCCTATCTAATGGACGTGTCTGCGCGATAGGGACTAGAACATCCGGGAACGTGGCTGGTCAGGAGCAGAGATAAGCAGGTCAGGTCCAGGAACGGGTACGTAACATAACCCTCGAAGTCACTATCCAACGGACATGTCTGCGAGATAGGGACTGAGCGGTACGTAACATAACCCTAGAAGTCACTATCTAACGGACATGTCTGCGAGATGGGGACTTGAACGTCCGGGTACGTGGCTGGTCCGGAGTCTCCCGTATGCTTCCCCGAGATAGGTACTTGAACGTCGTAAACATGGTCTCACGAAGGCTCCAAAGGGAGTGGAATAGAGTGCAGGTATTGCCTAACAGAGATCTAGAAGTTACTACCGAAAGGACGTGTCTGCGCTTGAACGTCGTAAACTGGAATAGATTCCCCCCTAACGTGGCTAAACATAGCTTCCATATTGTCTGGCATAGCATTAGAAGTGATATTTGGCGCCACCGGAGCAAAGATAAACAGAGATCACGTTCCGGAACGGCAACATCGCAAATAACGTGGCCCAAAGAGGGCTCAAAAGGGACTGGACAAGCACGTCTCCTCGAGAGAGGGACTGGAGCGTCGCAGACCGGGACCCCCTTTGCACTCCAGATGCGCGCGCCGACTCCATCTACAGGGTGAAACATGCTCTCTTTTCAGTATAGCTCGAACCACCTGCACCATGTCACATCACGTCCCGTGACGTGTTAACCTCCGGCAGTGGCGGCCCTTCAAACCCACGATTACTTGAAAAGGCCCTTGAACCATCCAATACCACATCATCCCTTCCCCTGATGACTCTGCTTCTCTCTGCTCCAGTTGGACCTTATATTTGCGACGTTCCAGGCGATGTGGAAGCTATGTTCAGCCACGTTGAGGGGGAGCCGTTCTGGGGCCGACAATATGGACACTATGTCGGAAACTTCCTTTCATACTCACTCCCTTGGCTCCAAGAGCACAAGCAGCTCGGGCTTCCTTTTTGGGAGACGGTGGATGTATTGTCCCCTTGCATCCGGTGCGGGCGGTTACCGTCGCGAAGCGACGTGAATACAAATACCGAAGACATGACATGACATGGAAAAAAATATGTCTGCCATCATGTCCCAACCTGAGAGCAAGGCCACCGAAAGCCCTTCTCGTTCGACCCTATTGACGCCACTTTCGACTGCCTTGGTGCACTCCACATCAAAGTATGAAACTCTGAAGGCTCCAACCTAATAATCCTAATAGCGATGGCCTCCAACCAAATAGCGATGTCCTGCAACCTAGTAGCGATGGCCTCCAACATCCTCCAACCCAATAGCGATGGCCTCCAACCTAATAGCGATGGCCTCCAACCTAATAGCGATGGCCTCCAACCTAATAGCGATGGCCTCCAACCTAATAGCGATGGCCTCCGACCCAATAGCGATGGCCTCCAACCAAATAGTGATGCAACCTAATAGCGATGGCCTTCAACCTAATAGCGATGGCCTCCAACCTAATAGCGATGGCCTCCAATCGACTCCAACCTAATAGCAATGCGTGAGTTCCTTCCGGACTTGTGATTGATCACGTGCAAAGGCTGCAACCGTCAACAGCAGGCTGACAAGGTCGTCCTGACATGACGAGAACAACCTCATATCTGAGCAGATCCTGCTGCTACTGCTACTCCATGGTTCACTGTCCAGAGTCCACCGAATATGTGTTTCCAATATAGTCTGGACTTGCGCAACATCACACAACTTTCATCCAAACAATCCTGGAGCAAGTTGACATCGTCGATGTACAGGACACCCCGATGTGCCTTTGCAAGCCTTAATAAAGGGAATCTTCTCGACGAAACTGAAAATTCCAAGTTACTTTCTTTGTTCGGTGGTGCTGCAGTTTTTACTACGAGTACGGTGGTATTTCATCAGCATAGATTTGTCGGATCTTGCAAATCAACCCTGCAAGTACTGATTCTGATTCCAAACGCTTCGAATTCTTCAACGTGCTCAGGGATTCAGGGTGGGTAGGTTGGGTGTAGAAACATACCACTGGAGGGCAAGACAGTGTTCTGATGGCAGGAAAATGACGGAAAACGTCGTTTCCACGGGCGTCCGCTCTGTCGGAAACGGCACGGATTTCCCGGGTGAAGCTTCCGAGGCATCCACAATCCAGGTTCAAAGATTGGTCGACCCGCATCCATTGATGCCTGCATGGGATAGTTCTATCACGGCTATGCAGCTCGATGGGCGAGTGAAAGTCCGCCACAAGGCCTGCACATCCAGTGATCCCACCAGTCTGTCTTCAGTGCAGCCCAAAGGCCTGAGTACAGCTGTGTCCAACTCGGAACCTGGAGACCTTTCCTTGACCAATGGGTCTTTAGACGTTCAAAAGGCATCAAATAAATTCTTTGACTTGACATATATATTTATATAACTTAAGAAATTGATTATTTCAATTTAACGTTCAATTATATAGTTTTCCTCAGAACATGTTCTTCTACCTTCAAAGAAACCTCCTCCGAATCTCAGTCACTCGACAGCTCGATGAAGGGGCAGTCGATGACCTTCGTTTTCACCTCGCCCTGTGAAGTGCGTCCGGCTATGTTTGGCCATGTAGCGCCCCTAGTAGCATCCTTGCTCCTAGTAAGGCCTGGAGCCCCTAGTAGCGTCCTTGCTCCTTGTTGAAAGCGCAGTGCTCCTGTATGTTGGCCACTCCAGTAAAACATGTCAGCGGCACTTTGTCATCCTTGACCAAGCGCTCACGACTGAGCACATCCCACCTGACACAGTAGCTGTTCTTGCAGGGGGTAAGTTCGTGGGTACGTGTCGCTGCACGTGGAGATGTGCCAACAATCGCCAATCTCGAGTGTTCCAACATGGAGTCAGACACTGATATGGATCTTGCACTGGAAAGCCCATGCTTAGGTGTCGACTCTGAAGGCTTGCTGGGATCACAATTGCAGATCGAGTTCTCCACCACCTCAGAAACTTTACATCGCAAGTTGAAACGCGGAAGAATCCATCTTCAATGAAGAAATCATAAGAAACTTCGAGCCTCAATCTTGGGAAGAACTCCTCGAAGCGAACGAGCCAGTGTCCTCAAGCCAGAGCTGCTTGTTGCATCTGTTTCCATTCCTCTTTCGGATGGCAAGGCCCAATATGAAACTGACCCGCCCTGGACTGAGCTGGCCGACGTTTTACCTGTTCCATGGCCGCCAGAAATTCCTAGTAGGCACTTTTGATGGTTAGTTTTGTGGGCTGCAAAGTCAAAGTGAAACGGCCACTCTCTGACCTACTCCGCCAAGAGAAGGATCAATGCATGCCTTAGAAGCTGCTGTTCTTGCTCACAGAAGCTGCTTGCTGCTGTGAGACACACATGCAAGAAATTGAAATCGAGTCCGTAAAAATCACTTCCGAGTTGGTGCAGGCTCACTCAGAACCAGTCCAATTTCAAGGCCAACTTTACTTCTTCGAGACCTTCCACTCGAGTCATCGGAATCACCTCAATGTTCACAGAATTCCATTCAGCTGCTGTTGTGTTTATTGTTTCTTACATGCCTTGTTTCGCTGAAGATGGGACCATCCCTCGTCCTTTCGAGTCTGCCTGTCCGGATGCTTGCTCGGCAAATCTGAGACAGCAACCTTGTTGACACCCAACGGGGAACTAGCCACTTCTCAGGCGTCAAGCACTTTTCTACGCCTCCGCTTCTACTGCCTTGACTTTGTCATCCACAGCAGATCTCACCTCGAATACATTAGCTTAGCATCGTTCGGTCGCAGCACGATCGATTCTATCAGGCCAAGGCGATAATTCTTCTGCGACCTCTGGAAACTTTGGAGGTTGCAAAGGGAATTGCCAGCAGCGAGCCTGAAGAATCACTGGCGACAGCATCACTGCATGATATCACCAAAAAACGCTCAATCAGCAATGTGTGAGTATGTGTGGGTGTGTGAACCACCTCGGATCGACCCAAACCGGCGTTACCGCATGGCACCTGTGCCCAGAGAGAGCCTAGACAAACGAGGCCGCTCACACCTGCAGTGCGCTGAAATCAAAGCAACAAACAATATGAACATTGATATAGTATAATACGATCAACCATACATACCAGCATAGACCCCAAACAGCCTAGTTGGCAAGAATTGTTGTTGTTGTGGTGGTGGTGGTGGTGGTCGTGGTCGTGGTGGTGGTGGTGGCGGCCGCAGCCCCACCCTGCCCCGGAAAGCAACGTAAATAGCACAACAGCAGCAGGACAACCGAAAGACCAGAGACGGACATTTGGAGGACAACAGAAGACAAAAGGATGAGGGAAGGATAGCAACATGAACACACCAAGAGGACAAAAGAAGGACAAGCTGTACACCAAAAGGGCAACAGGACAACATGAGGGGGGCAAGAGGAGAACAAGACGAAGAGAGGACAAGAGAAAAACAAGACGACAACGGGAGGAGTATGATTGGAGGTTTGCAGCCGCGGCCAACGAACACCTGAAGAAGGACAACAAGAAGGCAATAGAAGAGCATGAGGAGGACAGGACCGAAAAGATTGTGATAAGAGGAGGGGAGGAGGACATCCGGACAGTACTTGCCGGCGCGGCCTGACATTGTGGCCAGCAGGACAATAGGAGGACAAGAAGAGGACATCGGCTTCTGAGGTTGCTTCCTGTAGTTGTCTTGGTAGTGCCTCACTGCTTTGTAGTGCGCTCTTGCATGTGGTCATGTCTACATGCTGACAGGCTGCCATTTGGCCATGTTGCGGTACCGCGGTCTTCGCGGTTGCCGGCTGGCGCTTTCCTACTAGGTCCTAGGTGCCACACAAGGCTTGCGCAAGTGCGCTTGGAGACGGTGCTTTGTGCGCGCACGCTGTCGTGGTATCACTTCTATATACATGCCGCCATGCTGTCATCTGGACAACAGCAGAAGAACAACAAGGGGACAACAGGAGGACAAGAAGAGGACAACGGGAGCACAAGAGGAGGACAACAGGAGGACAAGGTCTAGAGACTGGCTGGCAGCCGTGGCCAAGCTGGTCAACAAGACGAACAGGAAAAGAGAGAAAAAAAAGAGGACAACAGGAGGACAAGGTGTGGAGACCGGCTGGCAGCCGCGGCCAAGCTGCACACCAGAAGAAGGACAAGAGGAGGGCAACAGGAGGACAACGCCCGGGCAACGCATTCCCGGCGGCTAGAGACTGTGGCCACCCCAACAGTAAACTGTTTGAGGAAAAAACTCATAAGTCGCTAATGTTCTAGTTGTTTCCCGGTGTTTCTTCACATCTCCGTTTTTAGGCCTGTGCCTCCTTTGGCTCCGTTGACGAATATCTGCTGGCTGCAACCGCCTGAAGGCACTTCTTGCGCAAACAGCGCACCCGGCGCGAGTCGGGATGAGTCCGAGGCCTCAAGGGAGTCCAAGAACTTAGTTCCATGGCCATGCCCTCAGACCATCGACTGCGAATCTAGCGCCCTTTGCATGAAGACACATGAAAGAGTCCTTCAAGAACCTTCATAGCGATTAAATTGATCAATGCCAGCCAATGGATGTCACCATTAAACCCTTTTCAGGCCCAGGCTGAGGCAGCGTGCGCCTTCCGGCCCTTTCTCTAAGATCAGGCACCCTTCATAAAAGAAAAGCCAAAGCTGCAAATGACAACCTTTCTGCAGCTTCCAGTACCCACCGTGGACTATTCTAGGTTTAATCTTTTGTGCAGAACAGCAGGCAATAAAAATGTATAAAACTTCAATGTCCTGCTAAGTCGAGGTGCAATTGCACATGCATGTCGACAGCATGGATCAAGGAAGCGAAATCCGGTTTTGGGGTGGGTGCTGAAACACACAGTTCCATCGTGGTTTGCACCTGCCGCCTCGCAAAACGCATTGGTATGGCTGCGTTCCAGATTGGCAAAACGCATTGGCATGGCTGCGCTGAATGGCGCTTGAGATTCTCTGGCGCGTCGATTCTTATTGTGATTTGCAAATGCGGAGTCGCAAAACGCATTGGGATGCATCATGCACAGAATTGATTCGTGCACAGCATGGCGAGGAGGCCATCCGCTGAGGCAGCGCTGCGCCCACCTTCGGTTATTGAAGGAAATCTGGCGAAAGAGCTTCGTTCTCTTAGATGGAACTTGCACTCCTGATGAAGTCTCACACGAAACCTCTTTTCTCGCAATTTTGGCGGGTTGCGTTTTCCGTTTAAAATTCCTTCAAAAAAACGATTCGCAATCGTAATTCTGTCTTGGAGCCGCAATCCGGTTTCGGTATGTCCACCGGGCGAGCTGAAACAGGCAGTTCCATGGTGATTTGCACCTGCCGCCTCGCAAAACACATTAGCATAGCTGCGCTCAATGGTGCTTGGGATGCGCTGGTACGTTGATATTCTTATTGTGATTTCCAATCACAAAAATCGCAAAACGCATTGCCATGGCTGCGCCCACCTTCGGTCATTGAAGGAAATCTCGCACAAGAGCTAATCCGCCGACCCCACACCGTGGGGTCAGGGCGTGACTGTTGATGTTAGCCTTAGACCTAGTCCTTAGCCTTAGACCTAGACCTTAGACCTTACCTCCCCTACCCCTCCGGACCCTTGTTACAGTGACGAAATTCTGCTAAAAAAGCGACCGAAGGTGACGTGGATTGTCCAAGAATCTGCCATCCCCAATTGATTTACATCTTGGGGCACCCTCCCGACCCGCGCGGGAAAATAAGCACGGTCCAAAATGGTCCTGGGCTCGAATCCCGGGCTGGTCGCGGCATGGTCCTGGCCAATGCCCTTGCTTTTTCGTAGATTTTGTCATATTTTCTGTTGGTTTATGAAATTTTCAAAGGCTTTTCTGGCATTTTCCTAGGAATGCTCTAGGCTTTGTCTTTTTGGGTACCTGCTTTGGTGGTGCTGGGTTGGGTCTAAATTGGTAAACCTGGGAGGTACCCAAAAAGTCGACTTTTTGGGTACCTGCTTTGGTGGTGAAGGGTTGGGTCTAAATTCTTGGGCAATGGTCGGGGTTCATGCAAGAGCTGACGTCCGATGGTAAATCTGGGAGGTACCCAAAAAGTCGACTTTTTGGGTACCTGTTTTGGTGGTGCTGGGTTGGGTCTGCACTCTTAAGGCTAAGGCTAAGGCTTAAGGCTAAGGCTAACATAGAGCAAGGCTAGCGCTAAGGTTCTATCCCTTGGGGGTCGGCGGCTGCAGGCGGTAGCCTGGTAAATCCGGGCGCCGGCCACGAAGCCCGTGCCCTGCCCGGAGGGCCTTCGGTGGTAACCGAAGGTTATAGACGGGCGCGCCCCCTGCCGCCGACCCACCGCCGACCCTCGTCACCAAAACGGGGGGACCACCGAGTCACTGATATCAACGTAATTTACAGGGTTTCGTGTGTGTGAGGTATAAAAACACTGTGTTTTACAGGGTTTGGGGGCCCTCGGCGGCCGAGAATTTCATCTGGGCGATGTCAAAAAACCTAGGTTTTTTCATGGTTTTTGCTTTGCGGGAAGGAAAAAATCGCCAAAAGTTGTATCGGAAGATTTTTTCAACGTAAATCGCCTAACATATCCCCAACATAGGCACAAGATAGCCAACAGATCCCCAACATATGCCCCACATAGCCTCCAAGATGGCTCAACATAGGGCCAACATAGGCCAACTTGGGGCCAACAGACGCCAACATAGGCCCAACATAGGCCCAAGATAGCCAACACATCCCCAACATATGCCCAACATAGCCTCCAAGATGGCTCAACATAGGGCCAACATAGGCCAACTAGGGGCCAACAGACGCCAACATAGGCCCAACATAGGCCCAACCGAGGCCAACATAGGGTTAACGTGCTCAACCGTAGGATCAATATGGGCCCCAGATGTGCTCTTTGTGGCCAACATATCCCTTTACAGGGTTTCGGGCCCCTCGGCAGCCGAGAATTTCAGCTTGGCGACGCAAAAAAAAACACGTCGGTTTTTTCAGTGTTTTTGGTTTGCGGGAAGGAACAAATCGTCAAAAGTTGTATCGGAAGATTTTTTCAACATAATTCCTAACATATCGCCAACAGAGGCCCTAGATAGCCAACATATTCCCAACATATGGCCAACATAGCCTCCAAGATGGCTCAACATAGGGCCAACATAGCTCTTTGTAGCCAACATATCCCTTTACAGGGTTTCGGGCCCCTCGGCAGCCGAGAATTTCAGCTTGGCGATGCGAAAAGAAAAACGTAGGTTTTTTCAGTGTTTTTGGTTGCAACGGCTCTCCCGACTTTCGGCTTCTGCTTAGAGAAGCCAGGGCAGTCAGCCTCCTCCCGTGTGGAGGATGCTGCTGGGATGCCCTATGTCCCAGCCCTCGCGCTAACCTCTGTTCTGGCAATACGAAATAGGCTGGAACGAAAGTCTCACTGTCGCCAGATACCTGCGAGTCATCACCGGGGGTGTGGGTAGCTGGCATGAGCGACGCTCTGGCCAGAGGCGAAGTTGACCTCTGGCTTTCTTCTGGGGATACGAAACAGGTTCGAAGAAAATTCTCCTGGAATCCACGTTCACAAGACAGCAGGGATGCCCCATGTCCCAGGCCCCGCACAAACCTCTGTTCTGGCATGCTTTGTTTGTAACTGTTTGTCTGTTTCTGGTTTACTGCGTCTTGGTGTACAGTGTGTCGCGCGTGCAAGAAAGACACGAAAGCGCACAGCACAAGACAGCTGCATTCCACATTCACAGGAAAAAGCACAAGGAAAAACACATTCGCTCCTTTTTTCTTTCCGCTCGGAGTCGTTCAGCCGTTGCTGTCGAAGTGGGGTTGCCCGAAACAGGATCGAGCTCTGGTTTTGTTCTGGCAATACGAAATAGGCTGGAACGAAAGTCTGACTGTCGCCAGATACCTGCGAGGCATCACCGGGGTTGTGGGTAGCTGGCATGAACGACGCTCTGGCCACTAGCTCACAGCTTTCGTTTGGCAAAACTCTGCGTCGACATCTCTGACACTGCAAGGGCGTGCAATGTCCGAGTGGGCATTAGGGCTGGAGGTTGGAAATGAGGGTCATGAAACTGTTTCAAAGTACGGCACTTGTTCTTCGAGGACCCCGGGAGGGACAAGTCCCCTCAGGCAGGTTTTTCATACGAGTTCATGCGTCTTTTTTTGGGTACGGCTCCAAGTTGCGTGTTATGAGGTGGAGCAGCTGCGTTTGTGGTCTGACAGTTTTGGCATACCCAAGTTGGCAGGTGTCGAACGTGGTACTGGTTATTCGTCTGGGATGGGCGTTCGGCACCACAACCTGCACTGCATGGTGGGAAGGCACAGGCTGGGCATTGAGCGTCAGCTCTGGCTCGTGCACCTAAGGGCTTGCCACAAGTGGAGCAGCACTTGTTTGCGCAGCCCTCGCATGTCCATTGTGGCTGGACCTTGGCATGGTACCCTGTTGCCTTCGGCCGAGGGCGGCCACACTTGTCGCATGGTGGATAGGCACAAGCTTGACACCATGTGTCGGCTGTTGCCTGTCCGCGCATGGCTCGGCCACACTGACTGCACGCTTTTGGGAGACACTTTGCACAGGTCCACTCAGGCATGTTTTTCACATGGTAAGCACGGTCATCTGGGCGGGCTGCACCACAGCCGGGACAAGGTGGGTAACCGTCCCGACAGGTGTCACAGTACCACTCTGGATTGTTTTGGGCATGGTACTTGAGGTTCTTGTTGGGACGATGCTGCCCGCAACCACCCCTGCAAGGAGGAAACGCACAGTTCACACACCAGTCCTGATACTTTCCGGGGATGGCATCGCACTGGACGCATTTTTTGGTGAGACATTTTTGACAAGTCCATGCGGGCATGCGCTTGGCGTGGTATTTTCCGTTTTGGGGTCGTTTTTCTGTCCCACAACCATCGCAGTTGGGATATGCACAATCCAAGCACCAGGCTCCCAGTGTTGCAACGGCGTTGACGGGCTGGGAGCACTGGGGACAAGTCTTTGGCGCTCGTTCGTGCTCGCCTTGGAGGCATTTTTTGGCTAGACATTTTTGACAAGTCCATTCGGGCATGCGCTTGGCGTGGTATTTTCCGTTCTGGGGCCGTTTTTCGTTCCCGCAACCATCGCAGTTGGGATACGCACAATCTAAGCACCAGGCTCCCAGTGTGGCCGCGGCTTTGACGGGCTGGGAGCACTGAGGACAAGTCTTGGGTGCGCGTTCACGCTTGCCTGTACAAGCCCGACACACACCGGCGTTGGTCTCATAGGAGTAGTTGCGCAGGTGGGTTATGCTTATGGCTTTGTCGCACTGGATGCAGAGTCCTTGCTTGGCCGTGGCTGAAGGCGTCTTCGCAACACAGGTCTTGCAGCGAGCACGCCGCACATCGTTGGTGGCTTTTTTGCGACGAATTTCTTCCGGGGTAAACTGGTGTAGGGTTTTGGTGGGTATTTTTTTTCCTTTGTCACATCTGGCACAGGACAGACGCACTGTGGAGAGGCAGTGGCGACAAAAGCCGGCCTTTGTGGAGGGACCGTGTTTTCCTCTGCAATGTGCACATGCATCTGGTGCATCTGTTGGTGTTGGAGGCTGCTTTCCTGACGCTGGGCTTCGGCACTGCGTGCAAAGACGGTCCATTCCTTGTTTCAAATTTTCATACCAGGCTTCCCGGTCCCAGACAGTGACGAAGTCTCGAAGGGGTAGAAGTCTGTCTGGCATATTGCTGCGAGGGCTGCAGTTGCGGCAATAGAGCATGACATCGGGCTGACGTCTTCGCTTGGGTGCATCTTTTTCAAACCGAGCTTTGGCTTGTGCTAGAGAGAGCTTCTTGCGGTGGAACTCCAAATACGTATGTGGACCAGTGAGCTCTCCGTTTTGAAATAGGTTAGGGGAAAAGGCGTGGGTCACACAAACGTCTTCGCACCGTTTGACTCTTGAGAGGCACATGTATGCGCTGAGTTGCGCATCCCGTGACGGGGCGGTGTCCCAAAAACCTAGGTCCAGGGTGCACGCTTCCAACGTAGCACCCATGAAGGAATGCGCTGTTCCGGAATAGTCGGATGCCACTGGAAACCCTCTGCGGGCGATGGTCGCGCGGCCCCCTGGCTGCAGGGTCCACTGCTGGACCGTAGGTTTGATGCACGCGACGCCAGGTGGCAGGGCTGGGTGTAGTTGCCATGTCGAACCCGGAATCTGGACGTAGAGCGCCAAGGGTAGTTTTTCCAGGACCAGTTCTGCACCGGGTGTCGTGCGGGAGAGTCGTGCAATGTCAAGTTCGTGCAAGGTCCAACTGTATAGGGTGCCACGGGTATTTTTGAAGAGTCCAAACGGTTTTAGTTCTGGTAAGGTTTGGGTGATACGTATAGGCATGTTAGGCAACAAGGGCAAGATTCCGACAATCCCACCGGTGGCTTGGTCATGCCGCTGCAGCCAGTTGCTCTTCCGAGCTTGCAACTCAGCCGGTGCATCGGTGTCCAAGTGGAAAAGAGGGGTGTCAGCGGCGATCACCCAGAGGATGGTTTGCTGTTGGCTAACTGCTACTTCCCGAGCTCTGAGATTAGTGGCTATGTATTTGGCTGCGTTGAGACCGTGAATGAATGGTTGCGCTGCAAATTTCGCGGACTTTGGATCCCGACCTAGCAGGCACCTGCGTCGTCTTTCGATTCGGCACTGGGGACATTCTTGTTCTAAGCGAGCTTCCCAGGGTGAATGTGGAGCTGTTGCCCATGCAAGGGGGAGGGTCTGGCAGGCAGCCGTGCCGCAGAGGCAAACTTTGGTGTCGAAGTCCCACGCACCTGGGTACCGGGTCGGAAACCCATGGAGAAAGCACCATACATCCTGCGACATGGCGCCGTGGCGTGCTTGTCTCAAGACTAGGCTTAGCCAGGGGTCCACGCAACGTTGCTCGGTGGTCAACTCGAAGAGTGCGTGGAGACCGGATTCAGTCCGTGACCACAAAACCTTTTGGAGCGCGGCCACCTGGCAGGAAGCGCCCCCTGCGAAGGGGTTTTGGAAAATGGCGGTGGCTTTTACAGGTGGAAACTGCCAGAGATCGCCTGTCAGGATGAGGTTGAGGCCGCCGAACGGTCGCGCCTCGCCCTTGCCGTTGTTCTTCCAAGTGCCTTTGGTTCGGGTGGCTTGGGCGACCTTTTTTTCGAGGGTGGCTAGGACTTCGAGGCCGACTGTGGAAATTTCGTCGAGCACGAGCCAACGCAACCGTTGGTACTGGACGAAGTGGTCGGGCCCTCGCTCTCGTTCGCCGCCATGGCCTTTGGCTTTGATGCGGATGTTCGCGAACGCATGGAGCGTCATGCCCTGAATCCGGGCGCCGGCCACGAAGCCCGTGCCCTGCCCGGAGGGCCTTCGGTGGTAACCGAAGGTTATAGACGGTCGCGCCGGCTGCCGCCGACCCTCGGTCCCAAAACGGGGGGACGACCGGTCAACTGAAGCCCCTGTAATTTACAGTGTATCGTGTGTGTGAGGTATAAAAAAACACTGTGTTTTACAGGGTTTATTGCGCATATCGAAGTACGACGCGGGGAAGAGGGAAAAATGCAAAAATGCTGTGCTTTTCAAGGGTGGTGTCGGTAATGCGGGCCGGGCGGACAGGCTTAATCGACATTTTGTGGGTAGAGGCCCTCCAGACGATTTACATTTCCTAACATATCCCCAACATAGGCCCAAGATAGCCATCATATCCCCAACATATGCCCAACATAGCCTCCAAGATGGCTCAACATAGGCCTAACATAGGCCCAACATAGGCCCAACCTAGGCCAACATAGGCCAACATAGGCCTAGCATAGGCCAACATAGGCTCAACATAGGCTCAACATGGGCCCAAGATGTGCCCAACATAGACCACATGGGCCCAACTTGGCCCAACCTAGGGCCAAGATGCGCACCAGATAGCTTCACTTTGCTCAATATAGGCCCCAGCAAGGCCAACATAGGCGCGCCATGCTCCCCACAGACCCAAGTGGCCGGCGCCCGGCTGTCAGGCGTAAGCCTTTAAATAGATGGATAGATAGCTAAGCCATATAGACAGCTAGATAGTCAGATAATAAGACAGATAGATAGATAGAAAGATAGAAAGAAAGATAGCAAAGTCAGATAGACAGCTAGATAATCGGATAGAAAGACAGAGAGTCAGTCAGATAGATGGATAGATAGCTAAGTCAGACGGACAGCTAGATAGCCAGACGGACAGCTAGATAGTCAGATGGTCAGCCAGATAGATACAGTTGGTTTAGTCAGATAGAGAACTAGATAGTCAGATAGAAAGACAGATAGTCAGTCAGATAGATAGCAAAGTCAGATTAGATAGACAGCGAGAGAGCCAGATAGAAAGACAGATAGTCAGTCAAATAGATGGATAGATAGCTAAGTCAGATAGACAGCTAGATAGACAGATAGTCAGTCAGATAGATAGGAGACAGCTAGATAGTCAGATAGAAAGACACATGGTCAATCAGATACGTGGATAGCTAGCTCAGTCAGACGAACAGCTAGATAGTCAGATAGTCAGTCAGAGAGATAGCTAAGTCTAAGTCAGACAGAAAGCTAGATAGTAAGATAGACAGACAGGTAGTCAGTCAAATAGATAGATAGACAGCTAGATAGTCAGTCAGTCAATCAGTCAGTCAGTCAACCATTCTTCATTCCGTGGTTGGGTCGCTCTGGCCATCATGCATCACGACCACTCACAGTTCATATCTTGGAAACTTCCGCCGCCGCCTTGCCCGGGCACTATGTTACATACACAATTAGAGTGTATAATAAGTATAACATTGATAATTATGCCAAACATCAGGCATTTTTCATCGTAAATGTGCCTCCTGCGGTTGATCTATGTGAAAAAAATGCCTTCCTCATGTCAACTGCCCCCTTCAACTGCCCTCATCGTGTCCCACAATCTTTTCGCGAAGTCTCAAGATCGATCAGATTGGCTATGTCCCATATGGCTAAGGGCAATGTGGCGGTGTCAGGCTTGTCAGGCCCCTCTTGAGCCAAGCACATGGGTCTTCGCCACATGCACCCCAACTACCTCGTCCACATCACGTGCAAGCTTCCAACCTGCAAACCACACTTTGGTATAATGTCTCGCATTGAATCGAGAAAATGCAGCATGTAAGTGGTCCCAATCGAAAAACCCACGCGGGGTGCCATTTAATGGACCATCATGTTCATGCTTTGCGTCCCTTGAATAAGACACGAGCGCCGGGCACAAACCCTGCTCTCCTCGGCATGGTAAATGCCCAGGGTGGGAGCCAGGGCCCATGCGGCGAGTGTGAGTCAAAAAGTTGGAGTCACCGCTCGAGTCCAGAGCTGCAATTTGCTTCCTGCATTTTCTGTTCGGAACTTGTTTCCATCCTTGGAATGTGTCTCAAACTTTCGAAATCCGAATATGTCCGTTGATGGGCTACTTGCAAGTCCTGCAACCATCTTAATGTTTGACCCCAGGCGGCAACCAGTCAGGACAAGTTTCACCTCAATGAAGCGATGCATGGCCATCGTTTTAAAACCCATTGCAAGACCAACACTGCAAGTCAAACAGTGGTGTCGCAGAAATCTTCCCACTGTTTCAGCATCACGCGATCGACTCTGGCGGTTGGGTCATGCTTCATTACCACGAATCTGCAGACGGTGCATGCATGGCTTATTCTCCGAAGCCTCGCTGGCTTTCTTGTTGTCTTCAACTGCATGATCAGTGTCAGAAGAGCGGCCCAACATTGACAGCAGGACCAACATTGACAGCGGGAAGGTAAAAAGCAGCCATCGTCACCAAACAATCATCATTATGATTACAATCGGAGTCATGCGCGACCACTAGCGGCACTTCATACTTGGCGTTGTGCACAAAACTCTGGGCGGAGAGCCATGGAAGCTCTGATTGACCCAGAGTACTTGTGAGGCCAGTGCCGAAGGTGCTTGGCGTTGTGCACAAAA